GGAGGAGGAGGGAGGAGGGAGGACGCGGCCTCTGCAAGGCCCTCGTGCAGCAGCAGCTGGTGGCCACGGGCGGTGCTGGCGCCCTCGGCGCCGCCAGCGCTCCCGCGGCCTGCCTGGGCGGGGCCGCGCTGGCCGGCACGATGCCCGCTGCGTTGGGCCAGGCCGCGCAGGGGTTGGCGGCGCCGTCGTCGTCGTCGTCGTCGTCGTCGTCCTCGTCGTCGTCGTCGTCGTCGTCGTCGTCGTCGTCGTCCTTGTCGTCGTCGTCGTCGTCGTCTTCGTCGTCGAGGAGGAGGAGGTGGAGGAGGAGGAGGAGGGAGGAGGGAGGACGCGGCCTCTGCAAGGCCCTCGTGCAGCAGCAGCTGGTGGCCACGGGCGGTGCTGGCGCCCTCGGCGCCGCCAGCGCTCCCGCGGCCTGCCTGGGCGGGGCCGCGCTGGCCGGCACGATGCCCGCTGCGTTGGGCCAGGCCGCGCAGGGGTTGGCGGCGCCGTCGTCGTCGTCGTCGTCGTCGTCGTCCTCGTCGTCGTCGTCGTCGTCGTCGTCGTCGTCGTCGTCCTTGTCGTCGTCGTCGTCGTCGTCTTCGTCGTCGTCGTCGTCTTCCTCGTCGTCGTCGCCGTCGTCGTCGTCGTCGTCGTCGTCGTCGTCGTCGTCGTCCTCGTCGTCGTCGTCGTCGTCGTCGCCGGCGTCGTCGTCGTCGTCGTCGTCGTCGGCTTCGCGGCTCTTCGCGGAAGGCGGGGGGAGCTTTTGCGAAGGCCAGAGGCCTTTTCAGGAACCCTCCCGGTCTCTAAGATCTATCCTCAGGGTTGGCAGCGCCCACAAAGGTGGGGGCGCTAGGGAGGCGGTCTAAAATTTAGAGGGGGGGGGCTGCGGAGAGCGCCGGGGGCCTTCTTGGAAGGGCCTGGGGGCTCCCAGGAAGCCTTCTCCGAAGTCGAGCGGGCTTTCTAAGAAGCCCCCTGCCTTGTCTTGAAGCCCCGCCGCCTTCTTAGAAGCCCACGCCCCTCGCGCCACCTCCTTGTGTGCGCAGCCCAAGGTGGGCGGCCCCGGAGCTTAGGACCGTGGATCACGGGAGCCAGAAGCATGGGTCACGGCGGGCGGATGAGCAACGGTTTCCCGTTCTCATGCGAAAGCGACGTGTTCGTCGCCAAATCAGGCGGCATTGGCCTCATGTTTCGGGTGGTGTTTTCCCCGGTCCGTGGATCTGGTGCCCACGCGCGCGAGTACCACGGATCAGTCCTCCATATTAGCGTGTGCAAGAGCTCTGCCTCGCGCTCTCGTCGCCCTTGCTCGAGGTTCGCGGATCAACTCTTTGCCTCCCCAAGCCCTCCCTCTTGCTGTTGGCGGCGCGCACGGGCGGGTGGCGCGAGTCGTGCGGCCTTCTATGAAGGCGGGATGCTGCTAAAAGGGCAGGGGCCTTTATAAAAGCCCTCCCAGCTTAAAGAAGGCTTGCTGGAAGTCTCCGGGCCCACCTCAGAAGACCCCGACCTTCTATCAAGCTCCTTCCCTGAGAGGGCATCATTATCATCATCATCATCATCATCATCATCATCATCATCATCATCATCATCGTCGTCTTCGTCACCACCACCACAACCATCATAATCATCATCATGACCACCATCAGCTCCACCACCACCACCACCACTATCATCATCGTCGTCGTCATCATCGTTGTTACCGTTGCCATTACCATCATCCTTCTTGTTCTTATCCTTGACAGTCGCATTTCCAGTATCTGTATCGCTATCACTAACATTATCGTATGCATTATCAGTAAACTTTCATCATGGTATCACTAGCATTGCCGTCATCATTGTCATTACCATTGCTAACATCCTTATTGATTGACCAGCATTTGAGCTATTATTATTATCATTACCATCTTCACTTTGCTTATGATTACCATTACTGTTATCCTTAGCATTAACTTTATTATCATCCTTAACATCGTTATCAGTACCCTTATCCGTATCAATATCCGTATCATCAGCAATATCATTATTCATATCATTATCAGTACCATTATCAACATCACTATCAACATCATCATTATCACTGTTACCATTGCCAGTGTCGCTGCCGCTGTCATGTCCATTACAACTATGAGTATGATACTTGTTGTTGTTGTCGTCGTTTTGAATCTTAGTAGTGTGGCTACTTTTATCAGTACTATTGCTATTACTATCCGTATCGTAAGTACTACCATTTCCATTATCTATTTCATTACATTTCCCGCTAACAGTACCAATGCCGTCACCATCTCCATCAGTGTTGCCGTCGTCGTCGTCGTCGTTGTCGCCGCCCTCGTCCTCATTGCCAGCATCACTATAATTAGCATCACCATCACCACCGTCACCATCATCATTATCGGTGTCGCCGCCGCCGCCGATGTCGTCGTCCCATCAGCACTCGCCCGGCCGAGTCATGTATAGACTGCACTGCGTGTGGATTGCACAGATGGAGTGCAGGAGGCGGCCTGTTTTGGGGTCCATGCTGGCTGGCCTTGGGCTTATGGGGCCTCCGGTGGCCTCTCCCTCCTTCGCCTTGCCTTGTCCCCCGCCTCCCTCCTCCCCCGTGTCTGCTCCCTTCCCTTCCTTATCGCGCCTTGCTTCTCCTCCTTCTCCTTCGCCCCCGGCCCTCCGTCCTTTATCACCCAGACACCAACCGTCGTTGTTTTTTGTTGTCAAACCGTCCTGTGGTGTTGTGCCCGCGTTTTGAAGAGACAGCGCCCCGCGTCCTCTCCTCACCTTCCTTCTCCCTCCTCCTCCCTTCTTCCCCTCCTTGCTTCTGCTCTCCGCATGTATCCGTTTGGGCACAACACTCACACGTTTCGCGGCCCCATATGGAGCTTCACCGAAGGTCCACATACGAGCATTCGCATGCGCCCACCGCACCCACTTTGGCGCACCCCTCAGACGCTTCGTGGCCCCGTAGGGGGCGCCACCGACGGCCCCAGAGGCTGCGTTCGTATGCGCCCGTCGCACCCATTTCGGCACACCTCTCACACGCTTCGTGGCCCCATAGGGAGCTCCACCGACGACCCGAGTGGCTGCGTTCGCACGCGCCCGTCGCACCCATTTCAGCACGCCCCTCACACGTTTCGCGGCCCCGTAGGGAGCCCCACCGACGGCCACAGCGGCTGCGTTCACATGCATCCACCGTGCCCATTTTGGTACACCCCTCACATGTCTCGTGGCCCCACAGGGAACTCCACCGACGGCCCCAGTGGCTGCGTTTAGCATGCGCCCGCCGCACCCAGTCTGGCACACTCCTCACGCGTTTCGTGGCCCTACAGGGAGCTCCACCGAATGCGGTGCATACAACTTCGGTGCTCACAACTGCATATGGTTTGGTTTTTCGCCCGGCTAATTTCACAGCGTGGTCCTCCTGGGACCAGCTTTACATCCCGAGTTGTTCTCGAATGCCCCGTGGTCCTGAAAGGGGCCTGTGAGGCCGAAAAGGGCCAACCCATTTCTGTCGTGCCTTTCTCTCCAGCTGCGAGTGCCCCTTTGCCTGTTTCTTCTCTTGCATCGGGCCTGGTTCGTTGGCGTGTGGCTCATGCTAGCCGACCACCTGGGACTGCGTCCGCGGCCGCTGGGAAACAGCTTTGCTCCCACGACTCGAGGCGGTCTGGGTACCCCTCCTTCCTCATCCCCCGCCCCCCCCCTTCCCGCTCCACCCGCTCCTCGCCCCCCCCGGGGCACGCTGGCGCCGTGAGCTGAGTTCTGGGCCGCAGCGCCGACGCACCGGAGCCCGACGCTCCACGCAGAAGCGATGCCCCAGCGACGTGCCACGAGCCCAGAGGCCCTCGGCGGTCCCCGAGGCCGGGCAGTGGCCGAGAACTCCCTGGAGACCCCCTCCCCCGTTCTGCGAGGGTCGAGGGCAGACTCTTGCATCCCTTCCCCCCCCCCCCCGAGTGTGGGAGAGAGCACGCGGTGGGCCCAGCGCTCCCCGTCGAAGGAGGAGGAGGAGGGAGGAGGAGGAGGAGGAGGAGGAGGAGGAGGAGGAGGAGGGAGGAGGAGGAGGAGGAGGAGGAAGAGGAGGAGGAGGAGCAGGAGGAAGAGGCCGCCAAGCGAGGATGAGGCCGAATCTGTTTTTGCCGCAGGGAAGGAAGGTCCAGCCTTGCCAGGATGTGGCTGGCAGGCTCGTGATCTCACTGCTGGTGACGCTGCAGGACTCCCCAGGTTCGCTCCAGGAGGAAAAAGAGGAGGATACCACTATGCAATCCGTGGCTTTGGCTCATGTGCTTTTGCCCTCTTCCTGGCGGCTCTGTGCTCGTTTTGAAGAGACAGCGCCCCGCGTTCCCACTCCTCCTCCCGCTGCCCCCTCCCTCCTCCCATCTTCATCATCATCGTCATCATCATCGTCATCGTCATCATCATCACCATCATCGTCGTCATCGTTATCGCCCTTATCATCATCATATCATCATCGTCATTACCACCATCATCACCATCATAGGCACAACCGTCACACGTTTCGTGGCCCCATAGGGAGCTCCACCGAATGCCCCAGTGGCTGCGTTAGCATGCGCCCGCTGCACGAATTTCGGCACACCCCTCACACGGTTCGTGGCCCCATAGGGAGCTCAACCAAAGGCTTCAGTGGCTGCGTTCGCATGCGCCCGCCGCACCCATTTCGGCACACCCCTCACACGTTTCGTGGGCCCACAGGGAGCTCCACCGAAGCCCCCATTGGCTGCGTTAGCATGCGCCCGCTGCACGAATTTCGGCACACCCGTCACACGTCTGGTAGCCCCACAGGGAGCTCCACCGAAGGCCCCAGTGGCTGCGTTCGCATGCGCCCGCCGCACCCATTTCGGCGCACCCCTCACACGTTTCGTGGCCCCACAGGGAGCTCCACCGAAGGCCCAAGTGGCTGCGTTCGCATGCGCACGCCGCACCCATTTCGGCACACCCATCACACGTTTCGTGGCCCCACAGGGAGCTCCACCGAAGGCCCTAGTGGCTGCGTTCGCATGCGCCCGCCGCACCCATTTCGGCACACCCCTCACACGGCTCGTGGCCCCATAAGGGGCTCGACCGAAGGCTTCAGTGGCTGCGTTCGCATGCGTCAAGGGGGGATTGTGGCTCAAGGGGGGGAATTTTGGTTCAAGAGGACTCCAGCGGTCAAGGGGTTTTGTTTCTCATCCGGCCATCGCTTCCGCAGAATACTGTACTGATACGTATAGTGTGCATGAGCCATTGAGTTCTGTCGCCTAATTGCTAATTCTGCTTCTTGGTGTGGATCGCCGCCAGCGCAGTGACTGGCCGGTGCGTGGCAAAATAAATGTGGAGATGCAATTCATGCCGCATAAGCGTTCGTCGAAAATATCAGCGGGCGCGTGGAGCATTGACGTCGCGGATATGAACAATAAGTTGGATCAGTTAGCGTTGATGGTGGGGACTTTGACTGACCGAGTTGACACTTTGGAGCGAGAGCACAAAAAACTTGAAACCATTGGGGCGGAACTGATTTTGGAAAACGTTTGCCAGCGGATGGGGCGTTTAGAACAAATCTCTATGTTAGTTGATTTTCTGAAATTGGAAGTTGTATGTGATCGAGTTGTTACCGGTTGCCTTCTTGAGGACACGCATGAACATGGGCCAGGGTTGGATGTGAAAGAAAGTCGTTCATATACGGATGAATGCGTTTAGGCATACCTGCGCGGCATGGCGAATCAGTTGCGAAGCTGGTTCGCTGATCGTCCTTGGTTGCAGAAGATACTTAGAGACAGGCGTGCTGGTGGAATCAGTGCCAGAAGGGCGCATTCATCTTAAAACAACGTGTGGCCAAACATGTTTGACTTGTTCCACAGTATTTGAGGTTTGGGAAAGCGGGCGAAATGGTAGCGTGCTGAAAGACACCGAAGCCAATGCCGATGGTACTTTCTTATGCGGCCGTGAAGCCAAGTGCAGGTCAGTATCAAGGTTCCGCATTCTTGGGCACACATATTGAAAAGGATCGCTTGGCACTTCCAAGCCTCTCTTTCGCTGGCAATTCGTGGCACAAAAAAAAACGAACACATGCGCCATCATTCGTTTCATGGTCAGCCTCCCGAGGAGCGTGGGCCCTGAGTTGAAAAACGCATCCTCCCTCATAGCCTCTGTCATGATCCATTGTTGGCGTTTGGCCGGCCTCTTCGCGAGTGTAGGTAATGCCATTTCATGTGGATTTGCTCTCTTCTCCGCCTTCCTCGTCTGTCTCTTCCCGTGGACTGCAGCAATCTCTGACTAATAGCCGCAATCTGTCGTAACCGGCCTCGTTTGGAGCGTCGGCGCTATGTAATGCGTGCGTTCGCTTTCTGTCATCATGGAGCCAATGTGCTTCGGCGCTCCGGCGCCACCGCCGTGCACTTTAGGGGGCCGTCCCCCGGGGCGATTGTCGGCGCCCTGTCCTGTCCTGTCCTGTTCGCATGTGTCCGCCGCACCCATTTCGGCACACCCCTCGCACGTTTCGTGGCCCCATAGAGAGCCCCACCGAAAGCCCCAGAGGCTGCGTTCGCATGCGCCCGCCGTACCCATTTCGGCACACCCCTCACACGTTTCGTGGCCCCACATGGAGCTCCACCCTTCACGCGGTTCGTGGCCCCACAGGGAGCTCCACCGAAAGCTCCAGTGGCTGCGTTCGCATGCGCCCGCCGCGCCCATTTCGGCACGCCCCTCGCACGTTTCGTGGCCCCACAGGGAGCTCCACCGAAGGCCCCAGTGGCTGCGTTCGCATGCGCCCGCCGCACCCATGTCGGCACACCCCTCACACGTGTCGTGGCTCTACACGGACTCCACCGAAGGCCCCCCGCGGCTGCGTTCGCATGCGCCCGCCGCGCCCATTTAGGCACACCCCTCACACGTTTCGTGGCCCCGCAGGGAGCTCCACCGAAGGCCCCAGTGGCTGCGTTCGCATGCGCCCGCCGCACCCATTTCGGCACACCCCTCAAACGTTTCGTGGCCCCACAGGAAGTTCCACCGAAGGCCCCAGTGGCTGCGTTCGCATGCGCCCGCCGCGCCATTCAGGCACACCTCTTACACGTTTCGTGGCCCCATACGGAGCTCCCCCTCATTTGTCTAACCTGGTTTGCGGCGCCTGCAATTGCGTGTGGTTGGGCCCTTCGCCAGGATGGATAATTTTTCCCAGCCGTCCTGTGGTGTTGGGTCCTCGTTTTGAAGAGAGCGCGCCGCGTCCTTCCCCCCCGCTTCCTCCTTTCTCCACCCCGCTCCACTCAACCATTCCGACACACCCTTCGCGCGCTTCGTGGCCCCTTAGGGAGCTCCACCGAAGGCCCCAGTGGCTGCATTCGCATTCGCCAGCCGCACCCATGTCGGCGCACCCCTCACACGTTTCGTGTTGTGTGGGCCCATTGGGAGCTCCACTGAATGCCCCAGCGGCTACGCTCGCATGCGCCAGCCGCTTCAATTTCGGTACACCCCTCACACGTTTCGTGTGGGCCCATCGGGAGCTCCACCGAAGGCCCCAGTGGATGCGTTCGCGCGCGCCCTCCGCGCCCGTCGCGTCCGTTTCGGCACGCCCCTCGGACGTTTCGTGGGCCCGTAGGGAACTCACCGAAAACCCCAGTGGCTGCGTTCACATTGGCCCGCCGCACCCACTTCGGCACGCCCCTTGCACGTTTCGTGGCCCCGTGGGGGGCTCCACCGAAGGCCCCCATGGCTGTGTTCGCATGCGCCCGCCGCGCCCAAGTCGGCACGTTCCTCGCACTTTTCGTGGCCGCCCGCCGCCTCCGTTTCGGCACGCCCCTCGCGCGTGTCGTGGCCCCCTAGTGAGCTTTTCCGAAGGCATCACTGGCTGCGTTCGCATGCGCCCGCCGCGCCCATATCGGCGCACCACTCACACGCTTCGTGGCCCGGTTGGGGACTCCACCGACGGCCCCAGTGGCTACGTTCGCACGCGCCCGCCGCACCCACTTCGGCCCCCCCCCCCCCCGCACGTTTCGTGGCCCCGTAGGGAGTTCCACCGAAGGCCCCAGTGGCTGCGTTCGCACGCGCCCGCCGCACCCATTTCGGCACACCCGTCACGCGGTTCGTGGCCCCATAGGGAGCTCCACCGAGCCAGCGGTTGCATTCGCATGCGCCCGTGCCCATTCTGGCACACCACTTAACGTTTCGTGGGCCGGTAGGGGTTTCCACCGACGGCCCCAGTGGCAGCGTTCGCATGCGCCAGTCGCACCCATTTCGGCACACCCTTCCCGTAGAGAGCTCCGCCGAAGGCCCCCAGTAGCTGCGTTCGCATGCGCCCATCGTGCCCATGTCGGCGCGCCCGTCATACGGTTCTTTGGCCCCGTAGGGGGCGCCACCGAAGGCCCCAATGGCTGCGTTCGCACGCGTTTGGTCCAATCATTTCTAACTCACCCCTCACGCGCTTCGTGGCCCCACAGGGCGCGCCACCGAAGGCTCCAATGGTTCTGTTCGCATGCGTCCGCTGGACCCACTTCGCCCGCCCTGCGCAGCCGCCCCTCCGCTCCCACCCAGGCCGTTCCGGTGCTGCCTGGGGTGTTGCCCGCTGGACCCCCGCAGCCCGGGCCGCCGCCCGGGGCACCCCCGCCGCGGAAGCGGCCCCGGCCGTCCGACAGTCAGGCGCGGGCCGCCGCCGTCGCCCGCGCGCCTCGGGCAGCCGCCGGCAGAGTAAGGACTCGTGATAACGGTACGGTTTGGTCTTTCCAGTGTTCCGCACGGGCTGCAGAAGCGAGGGCCGCATATCTTCGATCTTGACCCCCGTCGTGCTCCCCCGATTCTTTCTGTGGGAACGGGGAGGCAAGGTATGGTACAGCAAGGGCGCTTGGAGTTCTCAAGTCCTACGGATTAGGAGCAGCAAGATGGCCCCGGCGTGGGTTGATACGGATGCAGGTCTTTCACTCCTTATGAGGGCTAGCCTTCCTGGAACAGCGGAACGAGGAGGAAGAGGAAAAGGAGGAGGAGGAACAAGAAGAAGGACCAGTGTAGACCAAATGTTCATCGACGATGTTGGAATACACCCTCCCTCCAAACTCCCTCTTCGTAGGCCCCATACGAGGGTTCATTTGCACTGGCGGAAGTGCCCCGTTGGGGGACAACGGTGTGAAAATACTGAAACATGCGCAAACACCTTTTCTCAGGACTTCAACGACACGAGTCAACCTGACTGTTGCGTCTTGACGATCCTGCATCGTGCCACCATCCCTGGGCTTCAACACCGCGAATCAACGTAACTGTTGCGCACTGACAATCGCGAATCGTTCCAAAACGCCGTTTCAGGCATGTTAACCAAGAGAAGCAGTGGAACTCTTGTTTTTTGATACGAACGTGCGAGTCGCTGAAACGATAACCGCATTGAAAAGATGAGCCGTCCTCAATCCGTGAAGCGCTGACAGATTTTTAAAACGAATGTGGGTCGCGCTCAGGCAAGAGCCACATTTTGAAATCGACCCGCTCTCAATCATTTAAGCTCTGGGAAATTGAAATTGAAAAACATGGGAAAACGACTTGTCCTCAGTATGTAAAGGTTTTGCATCTCATCTTTTTGATACGAATGTGCGCGGTGCTCAGGCGAGAACAACATTTTGGAAGGGACGAGCCTTACATTTGTGAAGCTGTTGCCGGTTTTTAAGCTGCATGCTCGCCAGTGGTGATGAAGTCTTAGGCGAAACGCCCAGCCTGCCCTTCGGACTGGCCTCGGGGTGCGATAGGGGGGAGTTGAGCATAATGAGAATGAGTTGATGATGAGGAGGGGGAGGAGGAGGAGGAGGAGGAGGAGGAGGAGGAGGAGGAGGAGGAGGAGGAGGAGGAGGAGGAGGAGGACAGTCGCGCGGGGAGGCCAAAGGCATTGAAGGGACGCAGATGGCTGCCGCCCAGGTTTCCCCTCTCTCCCTTTTTCCTGTTCGTTCCCCTCGTCGTTCGTCTCTCCCTCGCTCGCTCCACCTCACCTCGCGTCCTCGCTCGTCGTGCGTCCCTGTCTCCGTTCGCGCCCTGTTTCTCCTCCTGTGCTGCCCATGCGCCATTGGGGGTACGGCCACCTCACGTGACCTGACCAGTATTTCAAAGCGTTCCCGAATTTTAAAGATGTGCTGTTCCACACGGACTGCAGAAGCGAGGGCTTGTAGATACTTTGGAATCCGTGGAACGTATCCTGAGCCAGTCGTATCATGCTATCATTTTCGCCTTAAGCTGTGCACTTTCCCCCCATCTTGCCCCCCGATGCTCGATCTTGCCCCCCATCTTTTTCGAGCTGATGCCGTTCCGAGTGCAGAGTCATGAGTGGAGGTCAAAGGGTTGGAGACCGAGGTTCCAATATTGATCTAGGACCGAGGTCGTCGTTCGGTATTGTTTCGTATGTTCTGCCGAGGCTGGATCAGCTTCGACATTCTGGCCAGAATGTACTCCAGGATATTTCGGGGGGTGATCTTCGAGGAATGCCCGGGATGATGACGATGCTGATGATGATGCTGCTGCTGATGATGATGCAGATGATGATGATTCAGATGATGATGATGATGATGATGATGATAGTGGTGGTGGTGGTGGTGGTGATGATGATGGTGATGGTGATGACGGTGGTGATGATGATGCAGATGATGATGATGCTGCGGATGATGATGATGATGATGATGATGATGATGATGATGATGATGATGATGATGATGATGATGATGATGATGATATTGATGATGATGATGATGACGATGATGATGATGCTGATGATGCTGATGGTGGTGGTGGTGGTGGTATTGGTGATTATGATGATGCTGATGATGCTGCTGCTGATGATGGTATCGATGATTATGATGATGCCGATGATGATGATGATGATGATGATGATGATGATGATGATGATGATGACGATGATGTTGCTGTTGCTGTTGATGATGATGCTGATGCTGATGGTGGCATTGGTGATGATGGTGATGATTATGCTGATGAGGATGACGATGCAGATGGCGACGGAGGTGATGATGATGATGATGATGCTGATGATGATGCTGATGACGATGAAGTTGATGACGATGATGACGATGCTGATGATGCTGATGATGATGATGATGATGATGAGGATGAGGATGAGGATGAGGATGAGGATGATGATGATGATGATGATGATGATGATGATGATGATGATGTTGATGTTGATGTTGATGTTGATGTTGATGTTGCTGATGGTGGTGATGATGATGATGATGACGATGATGATGAGGAGGATGATGGTTACGTAGATGATGATGCTGATGATGGTGATGGTGACGATGGCGATGATTTCTTGGCCCCAACAACAGTTTCCTTGTAAAGTCGCAGGGGGAAGTATGCTCACATGCACGCAATGACCGCGTGACCTCATAGCCCCAAAACGGTATTACTCGGGCCCCAGGCCACCGACGATGACCTCCCAGCGAAGCTGAGATGACCTCATGGCCCAACATGATCCCGACAGGGCATCTTGAGAGTCTCAGGCTGTCTATGCGATGACCCGTCTGATGAGCAGCGGGCGATGCCGAGACGGCCCCAAGGCCAGAAGATGGACCCAGGCACATCAAGGGCGATTCCAAACTGACCGAACGAAGCCCGCACAATCCAAACATGACGCGAGTGCGACCTGAAAACGACGTGACGACAACTTCAAGATGTACCCAGTCTCGTCCGCAAGTCGACGCAGTGGGCGGCCCCGCGACCTGCATATCATGCGAAGCTGATCTCAAGATGACGCAACATGGCTTCAAGAGGCCCTGACGAGGGGTCCGCGGCGACAGGACGGCGCGCGCGCATCGCCTGAAGATGGCATCACGACGGCCCCACCACAGCAGGAGTCCGTGAACTTATGAGCCCCAGCTTGCGTCCAGCCGATTTCGGCACCGCGGAATCCCTGAACGGCTCGGGATTTTGGTTTACCCTTCTTTTAATGGGTGGGACTTTGACCTGGCTGAATCAAACTTCTAATTTCGAGTGGGACTCAGCTCGGCGGGATCCCGCTCGACCCCGGAAGCAAGACGACCTTGCTAGGCTTCTACGGGGGCGGAGGGTTCGGAAGGCGCCCCATTACTACCGCCAGCTTCCGCCGCCCGCGCAATACGTCTGCCGTCTTCCGCGCGGCGAGGGCCATCATGAAATTCAAGGAACTTCCATTGGGCCGACGTATTCTGCTGTTGTTTTTGTGATGGTCATGCTGATGATCATGATGGTGATGCGATGATGATGACGATGATGATGATGCTGGTGATGAACATGATGATGACGGTGAGGATGCGGCGATGATGAGGATGATGCTGCTGCTGCTGAAGATGATGATGATGATGATGATGATGATGATGATGATGATGATGATGATGATGATGATGATGATGATGATGACGATGACGATGCTGATGATGATTATGATGATGATGATGATGATGATGATGATGATGATGATGATGATGATGATGATGATGATGATGATGATGATGAGGTCGAGGATAATGCTGATGACGATGAGGAGGATGAGGATGCCGATGGTGATGGTGCTGATGCTGATGGATGTTTGTTTGATGAGGGTGATATTTAATTCTGAGGAGAGTGATCTTTGCTCGGGAGCAGGAGGATGAGGATGTTAATACCTTCGTGATACTGATGACGATGCTTGTGAGGATGAGGAGGAAAACGAGGGAGCTGAGGAGGATGAGTTTGGATTGGAGGTGAGGGAGCGGAGAAGGAAGACGAACACGTTGGTCGGGACTGAGCAGGGTGGAGGCGGAGCAGCGCGAGTGAACCGAGGTTCGCAACGAACGCAGGGGCAGCAACTGCGAAGCGGATCCCCGCGGGAGGCCAGGACGAAACCGGTTTCATTGGGGTGAGTCAGCAAATTTCGGCTCTTAGTCACGCACGAAACAGAGGAGTAGGAGTAGGATGAGAAGGATCAGGAGGAGGATGAGCGGGCCATCATCCATATTCTTTTCAAGTGCCTGGTCTTGGATTGCTGCGTGTCCCTCTTGACGGGAGGAAGCGCGCAAAGACTTTCAAAGAATTTCGCATTTTTTGGGGCAGGGGGAGGACTGCAGCTGCTTGATCATATTCCTTGCGTCGGCGTTGGTGTGGCAGTCATGAACCCAGCAAGGTCATTGGCCAATACCAGGGGGTCGTCACGAGCTTCAGTGCCGCGAACGGCTTCGGATTCATCGCCTGCGACGCGGTGAGAGCGATGGGCCATCAGGCGAGGATTTTTACGATTGGCCCAGCTAACCCTTGTGTCTGGTTTCTGCTGGGCTGTGCCTCCCGACCCCTCCTTCTGTACAGTCAACTCCTGGAGAGTGCAGTGCTTCGACGAGTTCGTGCAGTCACTTCTTACAATGTGTCCTTGATCCAGTGGGTTTCTAATATGGCGCGGGTGTTCATGCCAAATCTGGTTGCTCTGACCAGGTATCTCACCTGATTTTCCAGTCGTCCTCCGTTCTTTGCCGCTCACGGGACGTTGTGCGGCCCATGATCAAGTGTATTCCGTAGCTAGATGAGTCAGACTGTGAAGGCACAATGCGTTCAACTATTTGGGCCTGCAGTTGCTGTGCGGTGTGGCCAGAAATCCGATCGCTGACCTGGAGAAGGGTACTAATTACCTCCAAGGCTGTTGGCGTTTTCATTGAATCTTCAGTCTCCGAGAACGACGCAGCCTGGCTGTCATGCCTACGAGGCACCCCTGCATTCCAGCAAGGCAAAGAGAGCGCTACCAAGAATGATGTTCTCTTGCACCATTCAGAAGCTGCTGGAGTCGAGGTCATTGAGGGTTGAAGCTCAGGGCACGCGTCTTCAGCATGCAGGCAGACGGCGAGGCAGAGGCTCAGCAGGGGGAGGCTGCGTCGAAAGACCGCGCGAGGGGAAAACGAGCGGGCAGGGCAGACGGCCAGCAGCAGAGGATCTCAAGGAGACGTGGGTACATCTTTCATGCGCTATGGGGGAGGGGAAAGGGTGGCACGGGCGTTGGACGTGACCGACGAGTATAAGATGTGGCAGTAGTAGCACAGAGCGTGTGCAGTTACGCGTGTGGTAGTAGCAGCAACAGGAGTCCTGGCAGTAGCTGCTGTTGCGGTTGTACTTCGTGCAGTAATGGTGGTGGCGGAGAGCAGTCGCCGTGCTTTTCCGTTGCACTAACACTTGTAGATGTAGTGGCAGTGGTAGGGGTGGGAGTAGAAGTATATGTCAAAGTTGCATTAGAAGTGGTAGTCCTTGCGCTCATTTTTTCTGCTCTCGGCCCTTCTGACCCACCCAGGCCCGGCGACCCGATATATTGTCCAGCTACATTTTGCCCTGATCATTCTCCTGACGCTTCTCCTGCCTTCCCCCTCCTCATGGCATAGCAGGAGGAGGGCAGGACCCTTTCGGGCCGTGCTCTTCTGATCCTTTTGAGCCTCCGAGTCAAGCCGAGGTCGGCAGACAGGTGCGGTTCACCTGCTTTCTCAACGGCAAGGGCTCCCCCGAGGCGATGGACCTCACTCTGGCCGGCGGCGTGCCGCCGATGCAGCCCGTGCCAGGCAGCCATGGTCTGACGGCTATCACAGCCTTTTGTCCTTGAGTTCCAACCGTGGTCGCAGGTGTTGTCCCTATGCTGAGCTCATGCCCACCCGCTGTCACGAGTCGCATGATCTCTGTGGCTCTTTTGATCGGTATGCCCTTCACGACCGCGCGTCGTCCCGCACACGATTCAACACTCAGCAGCGCCACAGCGGTTTCCCATGTCCGCTTGCTTTGCTTGGATTCTGAACTTCGTGCCGAAGGTGTTGGCGCCCGCTTGCTCTGCCTCTTCCTCGGCCTGCCGCCTCTCCCTCCTATTCCCCTTTCCTCCCCTCCCGTCTTCGCCTCCGTTGCTCAGAAGGCCTGCGCCATTCTGCCGACCCCCCAGAAGAGGAAGATGCACGGCGCCCGATTCCACATGTGCTTTTTGCCGCTTCTGGTCTCGTTGCCTGCGTGTGCTTGTTTCTGGATTTACAGTTCCTCCTTCACACCACCAGTCGCTGCATTGACAGGGTGGACGATGTGTACAGTGTGCCTTCGACACTGCTCGATCGCACTTAGCACTTCCATCTGCTGGTCGCGCCTGAGGATCCTCTGCGCCGCCGATTTAAAAGTACTTGTTCCTGGTTTGTTTCCCCCCCCTTTCCTCGCGTCTGCTGCGGGGCTTCTTGTGGGCCTCTTGGAGGCCTCGGGGGCGGCTTTGTGGGAGCCTTCTCAGGGCTCCTGGGTGCCTCGCGGAGCCCTCTTCATGAGGTCCGGACTTGTGGCATGGTTCAGTTGGGTTTTGAAAGGCAGTCCTGGGCCTGCAACGAGGCTGTACAAACTGGCCCAGGCCTTCGAGAGCCGTTCTTCGTGGACGTCATTGGGTACCGTCCAGCGTTTCTTTTCAAGAGGGCTTTTCTGCAGGGATCTTGTTTCTCTTGCTCCCTCTCCTCGGCTCCCTCCCTGCCTCCCTTTCCTTCTTCCTCTCCCTCTCTCTCTCTCTCGCTCTCTTTCTCTGTATTGTTTCCTCATTTTTTCTTTTCCATCTCTCCATATGCCCCTATCTTTCTTTACCGATGCATACTTGCTTGTATATGTATATACACACATACAAATATAGATAACAAGCGTGGGCCCCAACCCGTGTGTTTCTAGCAACCACTGGTGTGCAATCCATATGGTGCAATGTGTGTGGTCCAAGTTGTGTTGTGCAATTAATCATTTGTTGAATTTGAAATTGTCCAGTTCGCTGCTCGCGCAACCATCCCGCCCACCCACCCGCAATCGGGTTTGCAAACCCCATGCGGGAACGATTGCGATGAGTGCTTGGTGTTGGCTGGTTCATCTCTGCGGCCGCGCTAGCCCGCGCATGCTCGCGCGCGCAGCGGCCAGCTAGTCTGGCGCGACCGACGCAGCCGCGGTGGCGCTGACCGTTCGGCACATCCCAGCGGGCACTTCAGTGCGAGTCGGCGACTTGGGCGGGCGCGGTATCATGGCAACGTCGACAACGGTAGACACAATGATGATACTAGCGATGCTGGTGACGGTGCTGACAGCGACGGCGGGGCAGCCAGTGACGGCGTCGGTGCCAAACACGCCGTCGACGATGATGGCGTCATCGCGTCGGTGATGAAGGTTTTGGAAAGGAACTTGACATGCGCGCGCGGCTGACGCGTGAGAGTGATTTGCATGGTATAATTTGACGCGGATCGTGCCACCCCAGCACGTGCGCAAAAGGGCTTTCGAACGATTTAGACATGCGCGCGCGAAGCCCGTTAGGTAGCGTTGTATGACAATGTCGAAAAACTCATAATTCCCAGAAGAATTCGCAGGAGCGCGCGTGCACGCTTTTGTTGACAATCCGTGTTGCGAAACCATGTGTTTTTGTATGTTTGTTTGCACTCGATTCAGAACCCCATCCAGAACCAACGGTTTTTGAAGGATTTCGGCATGCGCGCGCGACGACGCGCGCGCAGCACTACGTCCCATTTTGTCAGAGGGTTCTGGCGACGGCACGCGCGCAAAGGCGTTCGAACGATTTCGACATGCGCGCGCGCGAGGCCCGTTTGGTAATATGTTTTTCGAAAATATTTGGAAACCGTGTTTTCTCCATATGTCGCAAAAGCTCGCGCGTAAGTTCCTTTCTAGAACAACCGCGTTGCGATTTTTTTTTGTATTGCCCGTGCTTTTTGTTGAAATTCGATTTTGAATTCTTTCCGAAACCAGGGGTTTTGGAAGGATTTGGGCATGCGCGCGCGACGACGCGCGCGTGAACACTTCGGCCCGTTTATTTGGAAGGGATTTCTGAACACTTATGAATTTTGATAAAAAAGGTTGTGCGTGCATGATTTTTTGGTGGAGGATGGATGGGGGGCGATATTGGCCCCCCTGGGATGATGTAGTGTCATATTTCGGATGGAACATGGGGCAGCACCGGATGTAAAATGCAATACGAAAAGGTGGATGGTTAAGTCCGGGGGGTGGGAGGGAGGTAGAACGTATCTCTGTTTCAGAAAAAAGGGAATCGGTGTGGTGCAGTCTGAGTTGTGTAGTCTACGTGGTACAACGTATGTTGTACACTCTATGCGGTGTACGCTCTGTTGCGCAGTGCATCTGGTGCATTATATGTTCTATGTGGTGTAGTTCATGTTGTGCTAGCCATGTGGTGCAACCCATGCAGTGCAACATATGTTTTGTAAACTATGTGGTGCACCCTATGTAATGCTACCTATGCTGTTCAATTGCTGTGGTGCAATATTTGCGGTGGAATCGACAATGCAATCCAGGGCGGAGACGAGGCGGCGACGGGACGGCGACGGCTGCACCATGGGTGCCAGACCGACGACACGGCCCAGACGACGGGCGGCGACGACGCGGCCATGGGGCGACGACGGCGGCCACATATAGCCGCCAGACCGAAGACACGACCCACTTCCTTAGAACACACGCGAGAACCCCTGGGTGCAAACAGTGTTTCGGGAATCTGTTACACACACACACTTACGAGACCGACCACCTTTCAAGCGATACTGAGGTCGGGAAAGGGATGGATGCAGCTTCGGTCTTCGATGGGCGTCGGATCGGATTGGCGATGTATTCATCTAACAACCTCTACACCTATAGACATAATTGTATGGATGCATGTAGATATATACACCAATGCGTGCTTAGACTTGAGAGGTTGTTATCTCTGTTCTAAGGAACTGGATCGTGTCTTCGGTTTGGCGGCTGTGTGGCCGCCGTCGCCGCCCCGTCGCCGTTTCGTCACAGCCCGTCGTCTGGGCCGTGTCTTCGGTCTGGCGGCTATTTTGCCGCCGTCGCCGCCCCGTCGCCGCCTCGTCGCCGCCCAGATGGCACGGCATAGATTGCACCACAACGAATGCACCGCATGTATTGCACCACGTAGGGTGCACCACATACCTCACAAAACATAGGTTGCACCGCATAGGTGGCATCACATAACTTTCACACAACATACGTGTATGTATACATACATGTATATATATATATTTATATATATATATATATATATATATATATATGTAAGCGCATATACTGCCACACGTATACTGCGCCACATCGAGTGCACAGCATCTATCGCACGACGTGAATTGCGCTACGTATATGGCACCGTACACAGTGCACAGCATATACTGCACCACGTAGATTGTATCGCTTAGACTGCATCGCATTGCTTGCACAACGTGGAACTGCATGTATTGCACCACATGTACTGCGCATCATATACTGACAACACAAAGTACACAACATTTATGGCACCACACATCACGCACACACAATATACAGCTAGAAACACACTCTTTTGGATCCACTCGTGCTACCATACTTCTGTATGCGCATTTATACATACAACATGTATGTATGTATGTATGTAATGTAATGTAATGTAATGTAATGTAATGTAATGTAATGTAATGTAATGTAATGTAATGTAATGTAATGTAATGTAATGTAATGCAATGTAATGTAATGTAATGTAATGTAATGTAACGTAATGTAATGTAATGTAATATAATGTAATGTAATGTAATGTAATGTAATGTAATGTATGTATGTATGTATGCAAGTATGTATGTATGTATGTATGTATGTATGTATGTATGTATGTATGTACGTACGTACGTATGTATGTATGTATGTATGTCTGTATGTGTGTGTATACATGCATCCATATTTATCGATGTCCCTTTCTACCGGTATCACAATATAGCAATGGACCCACCGATCAAATCCCAATCGGTATGACAATCTATCTCTCTCACCATATCCGTATTTACTGACTCCACTGTTCACACACTTTTTGCGTCGGCGGCTTGGCAGAGTGACTGCGCTGGCTGAAATAGCATATGTAGGGCGTACAAACGCGAATTAAGCCGCGATGCACGTGGCGGGAGAGGAGGAAGGCCCGATGCGGGCGGGAGGGAGAGGAGGCCGGGCCCGCCCAGAGCGGGGCCAGGCGGCGGCGGGGAGGCGCCGGGGCTGGGGGCCAGCAGCAGCAGCGGGGCAGCAGTTGGGGGGGTAACAGCCAGGGTGGCCGCCAGGCAGGGGGGGGAGCGACAGGTCCAGCGCGAGCTGGAGTCCGAAGCAGCACAGCGAGGTGACCAGGGGTGCCGAGGTCACGGTGACCTTCGAGGCAACCTGAAGAAGACCGATGGGAGCGAAGGCAGCGGGCCGTGGGTGCCGAGGTCACATGTGATCTACGAGGCGCCCAGTGAGCGCGACAAGGACGAGGCCACCCCCAAGCCAGCGAGGTAGTGATGGGCAGCGGCCCACCAGCCAGTGAGCGGCGGGCGAGGCCCAGAGAGCAAGGTCGCGACTGAATGCCACTCAGGCAGCGCGAGACCGCCCGTCCATGACGGCAGGGGCGGGGGGGCGGCCAGTACCAGCTGATGGACTGGCGCGGTTTGTCGTGCAGCCTGTCGTCGCGATTCCAACGGGGGGTATAGTCGCTGGACAAGATGACAGTGCGGTGAGACGGACCAGACTAGCGCCGGGGCAGGTCGCTTCCCCATGGGTCGCGTCGCTCGTGGGCTCTGGTGTTCGGTGGTGCGGGGACTCTTGCGCGCGGGCTCCTCGGTGGCGCTGGCGGGCGCGCCTCCGTCGGACTGCTCTGCCTGCAGTGCTGGCCCGCGTTCTGGGCCTGGGTCTGGGCATCCGCCCGCAGCGCGCGGGGGGGATCCGCGCGGGCTGGGTGGAGCCGCCTCG